TGGAAAATCATTTTAAACATGATGATTTAGACAATGGGGATATGGGGATTTGTAGTTTTATGACCAACAATCATGGGGATATGATGGTATAGCTATATCATAGATATCATAGTATATAGATAATGGGGGTTTCCATAGTCATGGGAGGTGCCCCAATAGCTGGATGGTTTATAAGGGAAAACCCTATTAAGATGGATGATTTAGGGGTACCCCCATTTCAGGAAACCTCCTATAATGAGGATATATTGGGTGATATATTGCGGAGGTAGTGGACTGTAACCAGCTAATCAAGTATACCGGGGATGTAATGGTTTATAACCAACAATATTGGGCTTGTAATTGTACCCTCTGGTAATTTAACATAGCTATAGAAAATCACCATGTTTAATAGGTAAACCATCTAGAAATGGGCAATTTTTCATAGCTATGTTGACATTACCAGAGGGTATACATTGTTTTTTTTAATAGAGTATCGAACCATGACGCGCTGGAAAATCTTCCAGGCCCGATGATTTTCCTAGCTACAAACCTTCGGGAATTTCCCAGCCATATTTGATTACCGGAGGGTAGGGGTAGTTGAATGATTGTTACTATACTTTATATTTCTTACAACAAAATAATACAGAGTTTAATAAATGAATTATCTGTATATACAAGTTGTTGTTCAACAAAAAGTCGCGATTAATCCGCCAAAACAATCAAGTTGTTGTCCTTAATTTTAAGCGTCAATTTCTCGAGAGGCAGTTCAACCCCCCAAAACCTTGGATGTGGTCCGATGAACAAGTCTCCTCATATTAAGTGCTTCCCAAAAAATACAGAAACAAATACCAAATTGATGAAGCATATATATATAATATGTAATATATATATATAAATAACCATGATGGAATATAGATAGATCATAGATTCTTACCAAATATGGAATATGAACCAAGATGTAGCATAGATGGAGCATATGGCGGGGAAACCCCGCGGTGTTTTCCGATGTGTTCTGCTCAGGCCCAAAGGCTTCTGTTACCGCGCGGAGACGTGCGTGGAATTCTTGGCCCATGGTATTGCCGGGAATGAGGTGCCCCTGAAAGGGGCCTGAAACGCCTTTGGTTGATGGGAGATGTGGCAGGGAGTTATATAGCAGCATTAGCAACTAGACTATAGGGCCTACGGCCTAGGGGTTAATTGGTGGGGTTGTGTTTGTTGATTGGGTTGTTAATTTATGATTAGGTGTTAGTTTGAATTTATTCGTCTCGCCGGTACTGTCAGAGGTTGCGATTGTTTGTCAGTAGGGCTCAGCCTCCTTCAACTGTTTAAGGTGGGGCCCCTGAAAATGTTGTTGGTTTATGTTACCCCCATGGAAACGATGATATATATCTATTATATATAATGTATAAACATACCTCCAACAGGTCCAACACTTGTTGCAGGCATGATGAGTTACGTTTACAATTCTGTTTACCAATATACCCTAAATCAATCTAATCAATTCCCATGATATTTGCTGGTAATTGATTAGATTAATTGCTGTTTTTTTCCTGGTCGTCCTTCTATATCAATCTAATCAGCCTTTTTTTGCTAACCATAAATCAACATAAATTTCCCATTACTCAAATGCCGATGTTTTGCTATAGTTCAATCCCCCAACTTTTGGTGAGTCCTCGACAACGACAACTTGGGGCGCCAGGAGATGGATGTCTATGTCAACGTCAACGGCCTCACCGTCGTATGCGCCAGCGATGTGCAGCTAGGTCCTTTGGGACCTTTTCGGACCCCGTAACGGTCGTGAAGCAAAAATGACCTGCGGCACCAAACAAAATGGTGGTTATATGTCGTGAATTATATATAGTTAGTTAATTTTATATACAGTTAGTTAACTAATGTTAACTATATTATATTATATAATTAGTTAATTTTTCAATATGTCTAGTGATTTCTTGGAAGTTACTAGAGAAACGGAATGGTTGGGAGGAATATATAAGAATATTATATATAATTCATATAGCTTTCAGCAACTCAATTCATGTTTTTTTCGCTGGGACCATGGGCACCATTGAGGTATCTGAGAGAAACCAATGGTGGATCAAAATCAGCCATGAAACGATGGCCATCAGCGCTTCTGAGCGTGGTTTCACCATGGTCCAGTTGGGTAATCAATGGCCATGCGTCACAGGAACCGATAAAAATTGGAGGTACCTATGATAGAAAAAAGGCCTATGATTTTTAGGGCTTAGTTTCAGCCTAGGGAATATCCCCGCAAAATATGGCCTTATATGGTACAGTACCTCCATTTTAGGATCCTGAAATTCCCACTGAGGTAAATTGCCAATATTGGGGGATGGGATGAGAGATGGTCATCAATCCCTTCATAGGGGTTTCATGTATTCATTGCGCGTGGATTCCCATTATCTATGGTATGGATGAACATAAACCCATATCATATACCCGTACCATGTTTTCACTATGGCACCTACGTTTTCATCTTGAAACCATGTGACTGGGATAATCATCCAAAATCACTGGCGTGTCTTTGGAAAATTGGTTGAAAAAGTCACCTTGAGGATCTAAAGTCCTCTATTCGTGGTTTATCCATTATAGTTTTTTTGCTAACCCCAGTTACTACCTCGTGGTAATTTCACACTTATTGCTACGGGTAATTTAACAGTTGATAGATGAATTAACCAAATTAAGCTATATTAAGATTGGTGATTTTCAATAGCAAGCTCTTAAATTCCCAGAGGCTAACCAGCCACGAGTTGTGGAGGCTGCGGCGAATCGCAACGACGCCTCTTTCGCTACGTCATTGGCCCCATTTCCTGCGAAATCAGGTGAGGTAGCCCTGGGGAAATCCGGATGTGAGATTTTACTCTTTTTTTGTGGATGACTATATAATGGAGACGTAGTGGGATATATAGGGATTTGGGTTTGTAAGGATTGGCAATAGATTTGGGGTGAAATGCAAATGATTTGGGATGGTAAATGCCCCTATAAATATTTCCAGGAAATCATAATCACATCTAACATCATTTAACTATTCCCTAAGTTCTCCCGGGGGCCATCCAGCCCCCAGCCCTCATCCCACTAATCCTTTTGCTGTGGCATGATCCAAAATAAATCTACTTTTTTACTTGACACTTGATTCGCGGGGGGTGATCTACAAGTTTCGTCCGAAACTCACCTAAATCAGGTCATTTCGGAGTTCTATCTACGAAACCCAAATCAAGTAGCAAGTAAAATAGTTGATTTAAATGCTCTACTTTGTAGATGTCAACATTGGAATTTTGAAGTCCCAGATCTGAGCTTTTCAATTGAAATTTGTAGAGATTCCAGGGAAAAGGGATGCGTTGTAGATATCTATACTGCTGAAACTCACAGGCTGAGATCTACGACATGCTCAGCAAACCTAGGATTTAGGAAAGTTTCAATTGAAACTTGCAGAAGTCAACATCCATTTTTTCGACATGGAGATCTACAAGATCACCTTTTCTGCTTGCATTAGATTTGGGATCAAGACTTCAGGGGTCCTTGCCAAGCAATAGTACGCCACCAAGAAGTCAACATACACCATATCAAAGGAATATTTAGGCCCCCAACTCAATGGGCATCACAGATATTTACAAATATGTAGAATAGTAATAGTAGATCGTCAGATAGGTTTAACACTTAGGTCCCCAAGAAGTCAATGTATACTATACAAGTTTAGGCCCCCAACTCAATGGACACTACAAATATATACAATAATGCTAGCCAAAATTGGGACCCCAAATCAAATGCTTTTGGCCCAAGATCAAGTGCTATTCCTTTTGTCTGAAAATGTTGCATTTACTTCCAATTCATGGCAAAATTGATGGGGAAAAGTGAATGAACAGGATGATAAGCCTGGGCTTTTTGGGGTACCCTATTCTCAGACAATCCCATGCTGAGTCAACATTCATGTGTGCAATGTTGAAATCCTACATGAAACCAATAACTCTGAAATCGTGTATCATTGTGTTTAACCAACGTCCCTATTAGTAGCTGCCATACTCAACGTGCATAGTTTAGTCACTTGACCATGTTCACTGCTTTTCGGAGTTGATTCCAAAATTCAGGGAACATGTTCATCACCACATTTGTTTACCAGATTGTAAAGCTGTCTATGGCTGGATTGTAGGATTTTTCAAACTATCACGATTTTTAGTTGTGGATTCGGCAATGAATTTGGCAGCTTGGGAGATGGTGAAACCATTTTCTGGTTGATTCCTATTCCCAATACCAGAAAATTGGTAGATGATGGTAGATGTGTTTCTGTACATCCTGATAAACTTGAGTGTGAAACTTGGAAATCCCATGAAATCACATGAAACCATAGGGTAATGTAATATATATATATACACACACATACATACATACATATGTTAAATCCTATGTTGATTCATGCCAACATATGGGATCATCCTTTAACTTAGCTATAAATTAATTAGACAAAAAATCCGGAAGTCACAGTCCTGGAATGGATGTTCCAGTTTCTAGCCTGCTATCCCCTCCCTCGTGAGTTCCAACTTTAACATTGCTTAACTAGAGTCCTAGAGTGAATACCCTCTGGTAAACTAACATAACTATGGAAAATCAGCATTTTAATGGGAAAATCCACTATTTCTATGGCCATTTTCAATAGCTATTTTGACATGACCAGAGTGAATACCTCATGTTGCAACCAATGACGTCCCTATTTGCAACCAATTCTCTGAGTTCGCTTGGTTCATCTCAACCAGTGGATCCTTGCCACCTCTGATTACACAATTAGATTGCTTTTATATCCCCAGCACATCCCCATGTTTTTTTCATGATAACTGGTGGTAACCCCATGACTTAGAAATCCCCCATACATATTATATAAAATATAATGTTATTATTTTTTGGCACTGACTCCAAGAAGCGAAGCTCCGCTGCGGCCATTGCAGGTCTCTGACAAATTCAGCTGGAGACTGTGTCCAGCAAATAGTGTAAAAAAGAATTTACAAAAACACTCAACCGGCATAGTCGGGTCCGTATGTCTGCCCAAATGCAGAACACACCAAAGGACCAAAAATGTCACTATAGTGCCGGGAGACCTGAAATTCAGGGTTGATTGGGACATCGCTAATGGCTCGAAGGAATCCTCTGGCAAGGGCCAAACAGAGACCTGGAGGGTATTCCTTGAGACGGGCCGTTGCCCATTGTCCTGATGCATCCTTTCCAATTGAAGTACTCTTTGGTACTTCTGTGGTGATACGACCCCGGTGCAGCTCCTGCTTGAGTTGCGGGGCGTTCAAAACGCCGAGGGTCGTCGGTTTGGCCGACTGAGCCCCCCACAAGCCTTGTGCTAGGGTGATCGACTCGCACTCAGGAAGGGAGAGCAGCAACTGCATGATCGGCGTCCTCCAGATGGATGCTTCTTCAGGATGAGGAGATTCAGCTGGGTGCTCGACCGCTGCAATGCCGCCTGTACAGGCCAAAGCTGCCATAGCCACAAGCTGAAATCCCATAAGAATGTTGCCTTCCAAGGTTCGAACAACCCGAGGGCCCAGGCAGCGCTGATCATCTCCAGGAGCGTCGGAAGGCAGGTGGCGTCCACGCGCACGCGACCATGTCTCGCATGGGGGGCCACCCAAGAGGGCAATGATTTGTCGATCCAAAATCGCCGAGATCCAAAACTGACGGATCTTGGCATTGGAGAGATCTCCCCAATGAGGATCGATCACGATGTCAACCGAGATGACTTGGATGAAAAATGGTCCATGAAAGTCTGTAAGGCCGTCCACAAAGAACTGAAAGTCTCCTTGGCGTCGCCTTCCCGCAAAGAGATGCAAAATAAATCTCTCTCTTGCAAATCCTCGCGGTGGATGTATGGCAAAATCATGTTGTTCTCTTCCTTCAATCTCACGTAGACAGTGCTGCTCCAAGGCGGCAATCTCCAAATGCCACGGTGAGGTTTTGGCACGGCCATCCGAGGTCAAAAATGTCCAAGCGTGGGGAGACCGCAAAGTGACTAGAAGATGGCGCAACTCATCACCTGGAACCCGCAAACCTGCCGCGTCAGCATCAGTGAAAAGCTCCAAAAAGCGCTCAAGCGTGGCCTGGAAGGTCGACCATGAAAGGACTGTCTCTCGAGCTGCTGTCCGAATCAATCTTTCACACTCCGCAATGTTCTCTGCATCCACAATGTCAATGAAGATCTTCTCCAAAAAGTCCTGGTCGAAGTCCTCGTCTGCACGTCCATGAGGTCGTTCAAGTAGTGGCCCTTGCACCTTCAATGGCGGCAGAAGTCCATCATGGGCAGCTTCCATAGTTGCATTGATCTGAGAGCCAGCTCCAGGCATGGGTTGCCAACGAAGCCGTTGTGCTTGCAGGATTTGGCGACATGCCGTCACTTGCAAAAGATGGGTTTTCAACTTGGCAAACGTGTGGTATTCCTTCATGCAGGCTCCGCACTGCGATGTAGAAAATAAATGCCTGACAGAGTTGACATGACCATGAGCTCGGAAGAGATGGGCTCCGCATCCTCCCTTGCTGAGAAAACGTTTTTCACACATCATACATGCATGGATTTGATCCCCAGAAAGAGCTTCATGATGAGGCATCGTCTGGCAGAGGCGCCCATGATCCTGCAAAATCTTCAGGAATTCTCCATGGAACTCGGTCACGATATGCAGGTTGCGTCGCTGTCCACTGTCATGATCTCCGGCTCGGCGGATCAATCTTTTCCAAAAACCTGGATGATGTCGCATGAGGTACTCCCATTGCTGGAACCCTTGCAGGGGATCAGGGAGTTGTGAGGAATGTTTCAATTGATTCCACATCCATTTCAGATCACACCAAATCAGCTCCTGCCACTCCAAATCATCATTGAAAAGCCCCCAGGACGTTCTATGACCATTGCCATACAGCTGGCCCAAATGTCGAAGGCGGCAAACTCGTAGAAGAACGGCAGGATCAGGGAGTCCAGTGTCTGCTAAAATGGCTGCGTCGCTTCGGGGAGGATGCTGTTGCACAGGAAGAAGTCGGTTGTAAAGCCGCATCAACGCACTGTGCAAGTAATGCTTGTCCTTGCCATCTCGAAGCGTCCAAGATTCCGCCCCATAAAGCAATTTGCTCAGAATCAGTGTACGAAACAACTCACGGCGTCGGCAAAGATCCAGGCCGCGATTCTGAAACAAAAGTTTTCTGTGGCGGTTGAAAGCAGCATGTGCCAAACCAAGACGGCGTCGGACTTCACGACGAAGATCTCCACGATGATGAATGGTGCTGCCAAGGTGAGTGTAAGAACTCACAACACTTAAATGTTGAATTCCATCTTCCAAAATGATGGGAAACGTCTGAGGGGAGCTTGGCCCAAAATATTTGAGCTTGGCCTGGGTGGCTCCTTTCCCTTGGAAGACCATCATGAGCTCCGTCTTCCCCTTGGCTAAATTGGGGCTCATGGCAAATTCAGCGCACAGCCCAAGAAGAGACCCTCCAACTCGTCCTGCAGCCTGTTCCAGCGTCACTGCGGAGTCCGTAGCAAAGGCAATGCAGGTGTCGTCCATCCAGGTGGGCCCTAGGAAAGACTGCGTACCACATTCTGACACATCAGTTGCAGGAAGTCGCAGTCCATCTTCGGCAGGAAAGCTGTCCAGAATGCCATTGTCCGACATCATCTGTTCGAGGCGATGGAGGAGCCGAGCCCAAAGGAACGAGAACACAATGTCTGCGAAGCAATCGCCCGGGCGCGTCCCTAGGGACGTTCTGCATGCGTCATGCTGCATCCCGACATGAAAGTGTGTGTCGGTGTGTAGTGCTTGCAGGACCTTCTGAAGTTGTGGTGAAAGGCCAGCTCGCTCGACAGCCGACTGATCCTCCAGGTGTTGATGTAGAGCATGAAGGAGGTCAGGCCCCAGTTGCAGGCGATCACCAACAGCAACTATGGCGGCATCATCCGGTGGGCCCCCAAGAGCCAACTGGCGGACAATGCGGTAGAATGCTTCAGTCAGGTCTAAGAACAATAAGCCCACGCACTTGCGCTGTCGAAGCCGTGTTCGAAGGTATGATCTCGCCTGATGCACTCCCATCGTGACAGAAATGCCCCGCATGCCGCCAGTTTGCTGCAGTTGCAAATAGTGCTCAAAGACATCGGCTGAATGCAAACGCAGGCAGCGATGCAATGACTTGCCTATGTGCGATGAAATGAGCACGCTGCGATAAGCAGAACAGGCGTCTCGAGGGCCTTTCTGCTTCCAGATCGGCTGAAGCCGACCACCTTTATGCAGGAGACTTTCTTGACCATGTGTGTACAGCTTGAGCAACTGACTGTAGGTTTTGCGGGCCACGATAGCCGGAGAACTCGCACAGACGTTGGCATCAATGAGATCAGGGCCCGTTGCCTTGTTGGGCTTGACATGCCTGAAGGCCGCCTCAAGTTCAACCAATGATGGAACATCTGTAATCATCAGGTCCAGGGATGTCGCCTGGAAAGCTTGAAGATTCTTGATCCAGAGTTGACGTTGCTCCTGTCGATTGACTCTTCGACCACCTTCCATATTCTGGAAAAACTGGATCCAAGTATCCAGCGCTTGAGATGGTGAGGTACAGTGTTGGCCAGATGAATCCTTGACATAGGGAAGCGTCTGCTGCTTGATCTGCTTCAAGTTTGTCGAGCCCACGACCTTCTTGAGTGCATGCAGGATCGAAGAAGCAGGTGCATCTGGGGGCAAATCCGCAAAGACTTGTTTGAGATAGGCCGTCTTCCTGTCTCTGAGCTTCTTCTTAAGATGGGCCGCTGAAGTGTGAAATCTGGCCATCAGTTTGACATTCGCACACAGAAGCCATCTTCGGTATGTCCAGAAGCCCTCAATGTCATAGTCAGAAGTGGTAGCCCAGGACTGAAAGCAAGCACGCAGGAGTTCTTGTCGATGGCGACGTGCAATCTGACGGAGCCCTCGTCTTGCTATAAGTTTCTGGGTACGAAGATTCCAAGTGTCCTCATCCAAGCATGGTTTTTTGGGTCTGTGTCGCGTCAAAGGACATTGATGTTGGAGGCCTTCAAGGAGGTGGCCATTGAAGTGGGAGACCTGGTCCTCAATGTTCTCCGACCATGCTGGAACAACATAACCATGCAGAACCTGCATCACATGGGCACCTTGAAGCTGTCCAAAATCAATGGTAGCCTTCGAAGATCGCTTCATTGTGGAGGTTGAAGGACCAGTTTCCTTCCACTGTAGTTGGAGAGCAATGGCCATGTGGTCGTGGTGACTGTTGCCCAAGTCAAACTCATCAAGGACCTTGCTCAAAAGGCACTCCTGTAGACAGGCCTTCGGAATCGCGATGTAGTCAATCAGATGTTCAGACATTCCATCTGGTGTGACCCACGTCGTATGAGGACCTTCATGACATGTTGATGTGCAGGGAAGGCAAAGTTCTCGATCTTCCAGAAAGGCTCTCAATAGAGGCGTGCCCGATGTGGTGCTGCCAATGGTGTTGAAGACTGATGTGTGATCTGCCTGTCCTGGTCCCGCATTCGCATCCAAAAGAGCAAAAAGGCGAGCTGTGGGAGGACAAAGTGCAGTGATCTTATTCAGTTGTTCCCACCATTCAGCCCTTTCGGACAGAGGAACTCCACTTTGTGGTGCATGCCCAACAACCAGCCAGAAGTCAACCCATTCAGTGACAACATGAAGAAGCAGGCAACGTGGGTCTTTGTGCACAACGACAAAGTGATGCGCTTCAAAGAAGGCAGGTCCCTTGCTCGTCATCGCATAGGCCTGTTCCAAATTGACCCAGAGTTCAATGCCATAACATCCATCAAGGGCCCCACTCGCAAAGCGAAGAATCTTCTGGGCTCGTGAGCACAGTTCAGGCGTGCGGGCTTCCTGAAGACCCAAGAAGTTGAGGTGCAGCAATTTAAATTGTGTTCTGAGATAATCCAGTTTGCCCGCATGCCCCCACTCTCCATTGTACATCGATCCAATGTTTGCACTAGCCAAACTGATATTGATCAGGGCACACTGATCAAAGTTTGGCTTGTCCTCCTTTGAATCAGAAGTGGCATGTAGAGAAGGTAGCAAAGGAGGAGGAACATGGAAACCAGCAGCACTCCATGAAGGAAGACCATCCCGCTGACTGAAGAGCATCCACATGTAAGGCAGGAAAGATCGCCATGTGTCCATGGAGAGAGTCTGACGCTTGTAGTAAAAACTACGAATGCGTTCCTCCTTCGCCAGCCAGTCGACAAAATCGTTGTATGGATCCCCGCAATGGCCAGGAGAATGCTCAACTTGAAGTCGATCTTCCAATGCGGTCTCAAGAGCTTGAAAGCAACTTCTCAAACTGGTAAAGGAAGTGTCAACCTTGGCAGTACCGATCCGACCCAGAGCTTGCATTGCTGTGGTCCAAGAATCAGACCTAAACAATGTAGGCGTGTCAATGTTTTGAGCCAACCGCCACAGGGCTGCCCAGGTCATAGCTTCACGTTCTGCACAAAGTGATCCAACATATTCAGCTCCTAGAAAGGTTGGACAGGAAGGGTCATACCTCACAGGATGTGTCAGCCAGCCAATGATTTCAATGACCGGAGGCTGCTGTAGGGATCGCTCACCAAGTACAACAAAGGCCCACGTGTCCCCAAGGCCTTTCTCCTCATTCCATGCAGCAGGTCGATGACGATGGAGAGGAAGAGATGAGCCGTCCGTGTAAATGATCAGACGATCAAAACTGGCAAGATTCGTGGTCTCGCTCATATGCATGGCCTGCATGGTGCTTTCAGGGAGATCAAGTCCTGCAGGATCTCGACAAAGCACGTCCGTGCCCGACGCAAAAAAGGCATGAATGTCGGTCATTGTGATGCCAAACCGGAGGAGAAAATCATCTTTGCCCTCAATGTGGCCTTTTGGAGTGAAGAAAGGCCTGTTCTCCCTGTTACAGCAGAGCGGTGCCGGCCATGGAGAGGGAGCCTTATGCTTCTCAGGTTTGACCGCATGTTGTTGGACAACGTCACGAAAGATGATCCGGAAGAACTGGGGCATGGGTTCCTCGGTGTCCAGGATGGCCGCTCTGCAATATCCAAGTTTGTAAAGCAACTGCATGAGACCCAGGTCATCGAGGGCAACCTCAGATGTGTGAAGGAAGGTACCTTCATCATCCTTGGGATCATCATGGCAGAACATGTAATGGAATTGGTTTGCGGAGGCAATCCACTGCACTGGAAGGCAAAGAGCTTCATGTCGAGGACCAAATCTGACAGCCTTGCATGCAATGCCCCAATGTGTGAGCTCAGCCTCAATGTCATTGGAATCACCAGGCGCGGAGCATTCAATGTACTCCGGAACAAGAATGGAGTCACATCCAGAGCGAAGCCTTATTGCAACCGTCGTTGATGCCGTCAGGGAAGGCTCATCAGCTGATTCTTCCTGGCTCAGCACCTCACGCTGAAGAAGGTTGGAAAGTTGCAACAGAACAGGAGCTCTGTTGGATCGGTTGACTGCAGTCTCTGTCGGCCTGGGATGTGGTCGAGGTCGCGTTTGTAGGACGATACTGTAGCCAGATCGACCTGGAATAGGCTGGCCAGGATGTAGCTGAACAGAGCTGTATTGTCCGGTGCATTGAAGATGTGCACGAGGTCCAAGGCATTCTTCATGTATGCCAAACACACGCAGGAGATTGTCAATGAGAATGTGTTCATGCGTAGTGATGGCAAGCTGTTGAAACGCAGGACGTCTTCCTCGAGAGTCAATCCACGAGACAACGCTAGTAACCCAGACCTCATTCGGATGCTGGATGAGAACAACATGGGCAATGGCTTCATGGCGATGAGCTGGAGGTGGTGGGGTGACAAGATGAAGTTCAATCACAGCACCTTCCACTATGTGGTCAGCCCAAGCTCTTCTGATATGCTCTTCCCAGTTGTGAAAATCATCATAAAGTCGTACACTTCGAGCAACGCGTCCATGGGGAGCATGCCATCGATGGTCCACGAACCAAACCAAGATAACACAGGAAGGAGATTCATCTTCCCACGCAAATGCATTGTCAGTCCAGAGGACATGAAGGTCTTGCGTAAACTCAGACATGGAAGCCACAGCCCAAGGTAATCCTGGCACAAAAATAGGCGCTGCTGCATTTAAGGCATGTGCCTCACAATGCGCGTCAGGAGCAGGCGGTTGTGCTACCTGCGGAGGCCCTGGCTGTTGCATGATGCTGGTTTCATCAACAAGCTGCATTTCTGCTGCATGGATTTCAATATGCGAGCCATGCCGAGGAAAAAGGGGTCGATCATCCTCAATGGGGTGGCTGCCAGAAAAACCCACACAGAGAAGAATTTGTCTTCGGCATGCATCAAATAGGTCCGCAAAGTGCAAAAACCTTTGAAAGGAGAGCCAGTGCGGAACAACTTGAGCAAAGCGATTGCTAAGTTCACTATCTTGTCCATGCCAGAAGACACTGATCAAGGTACCTCTCACAGTTGGTCCGAGGCCTTGATGGAGTATCAAATGTCCGCCATGGTTGTCAGGGGTGACCGGTGGGTACACCAGGGAAACATGCAGTTGTGCCGCTGGGTCAACTCGATCATGCCAACGTTGTCGAAAGAGCGCTTCCCATCTTTCAAGATCAGCAGGAAGGGCAACAACTCGATACGCATCACAACGTGGCCATCTGTCACCGTTCAAGAACCACGTGACAAATTTGACTTTGGTTTCTCCATCCTCAGTGATGATGGCCGTCGAAATGCTTGCAGCAGATCGCCATGATGTAACAAGATCCTCTTGTTCTGCAGGGAAACGATCAATGGCTACTGGATCCTCCAGGATGTCCTCCGGAGCAGTGATGGGCATGATGGAGGTGGTCGTCTCTTCATCCTCAAGGACACGCATTGAAGTGGTCAAACATCTTTGCAAGTCCGCAACCTGAGAATGCAGACCAATTTGATCAGCCTTTTGGGTTTGTATCATCCAATGATGTGTCCAAAGCTGGGTCTCATCAGTCTCATCCAGGTTGCGTAGGCGCCGAACTGAAAGGGCAAGTTCAGACTCAGTCATGCTACGAAATTGGACTCGAAGACCAAGACCTTCATGAAGATGTAGCGGAAGTTCACGTGTTTGAACAATACTGCCGACCAGGATTTCACAAAGGATAGAGTGCCGAAGTCCAAATTGCGTACAAGCCTCAGCAAGTCCAGCAGAATGCAAAAGATCCTCAGGAGTGCAAGGCACAGCCATGGAGAGGGCAATCTCATTGTGTGTAGTGAGCGTCTCGACTCTGGGATGTGAAACCAGACATGCAGCGCGTCCTGGAACAGGGTGTTGAACCACAAGCACAGTTGCGCTCGTACCAATGGTGGGACCATAGGTTGGTTGTGGGAAACGAAGACCAGCTCAAAAGCACCAGGATCAAGGAAATCTTCCCACATGAACCTGATGTCAGCCTCCCACGTCTCGAAGTCAGTGTCAAAACGCAAAGGCCGTGAGGCTCTATTGGAATGATGGTGCCGATGTGAGATGTAGTGAGATCGAAGATACATGATGGGACCTTCTTCTGCAAATTCAACAACTCCATGCGCAACCAATAAATCCCAAACTTCATGCACCCATGTAGGCTGGTCAATGCCCGGCGGCCTGTCAAAGGCTCCTTGTGTGGGGTCGGCTAGACGTTGAGGATCACCAGCAGGAGGATCAGCATCATCATCAACGCTCATCAAGACCGGCAAGGGAGTAGTCCCAGGTCCATTGAAGTCACAAACTTTCAAAAAGAGCATGGGATCCATGTCAAGTGGCAGGGTGCGAAGGATGCCATCGTGAGAGACATCAGCTGAAACTTGCAGTCCTGCCACAAAATCCGCAGACTCCTCTGTGGTGTCATCGCATTGGAAATCAGAATCATGTTCTCCAATGAGAATCCTCATGTAGTCGCCATCGTTCAAATGGAGCGGTTCAGCGAAGTCGTCAGCAATGAGATTGTTGTTGTACCAAAGCCAGCAGCGCTCTCGATGGGTATCCAAGAGAGGTTCCAAATCAAGCATTCTGAAGACAGAACGCCTGTTGATCGTCTGTGGCAACCACCTGGCAAATCTTCGGAAAGCCCCAGGCAGAATCTCATTGGGTTCATAGATCTCCAAATCAACCAGAACAAGGCGTAGGAATGATGAAGGCCGCCGTTCCGCTTGAAGTCGAACCAAAATACAATGGAGGTTTTGTGAAACAAGATCTGTTGGGCGTGCAAGCACATTGTGATGATCCAGAACTTCGTCTGGAGAAGTCACCAAGGCTTGCGCAATTTGTTGGCCAACGTCATCATCAGCAGCACTGGAGAGTCGCGCAGGAATCATGCGACCACCCAAGAGAACCAAAACTGTTTGCTGCCAAACCACTCTGGGTGATGAAGACGCCAAACTCAAAGAAGAACTTGTTGCCGGTGAAGGGGAGGCCACTGATGGTGTGGTACTTGCCCTTGGTGGCCCAGGACGTCGGGCCATGAATGAAACTTTGTCATCTTCTTCACGGGAACTTCGAAGATGCCATGGTTTGTCCGACCATTCAGATAAGGTATCATGGTGAACATGAACAGCATTGAACTCAATGTCCACCTCCGGGCCCATGAGCAACTGCACAGTGGGACAGAATGAAACCTTGTGAGAGGTCGTTTTCTTGCGCAGGGAAAGAGCAAAAATGTCTGTGCGTAGGTGAGCTGACGAACCCAATTCAGCTGCTACCTCAGACGCAAGCTCAATTGCCCGCCATTCTGAGAGAAAGTCTCTTTCAAATGTGATGGAATGTGACCATTGCAGAGTCGCAGCTAGGGGATCCATCCGTGCTACCGGCTCTGCAGGTGGCTGAGGCCACTGGTGCGCATACAAAGAAGTCATGTCACACCGGCCTAATGAAAAGAAGCTCCACCACCTGGTCCACCATCGCCCAGGCCATCTTCTTTTCCCGTGCGCGGACGCTTGACCCGCTGCTCGAGCAAATCGGCCGATGCCGATAGTTCGGCAAGGCTGTTCACAATCATGTTCATGCCCTCGTGGATGCGTTGCGCTCCAGGGTCTGATTGATCTGCCGCCACATCTAGCCATGTCGTCTCGAAGATCGATCTCTTCCTCGTCGTCCGAGACCTGAATGGCATCTCCTTGCTGAGCATTCTCCCTTTTGGAGGCTAGGTCGAAGCGCTTCTGTGCTTTCCTCACATTCAGTCTTGCTATACCTGAATGCTGGCTTGATGAGCCGATTCGGAGGCCTGGAACTGGGCAGAAAACTCCCGCCATTTGACCACCGATTGCTGAAGGAAATTCTTCCATTGTGACAGAAGCTGGGCCTTGGCACTCTCGGCTTCTATCAAATCTTCTTTTGCCTGCCCCAAAACTTTGACCGCAACTCCAAGCTCTTTGGTATTGTCTCTTTCGTCCTGCTTCTGCATGGTGTGAGCCATCTTCTGGAGGTCTGATGTGAGGGAGTCTTCGTCCTTCTTCATCTGCTTCAGGAGACGGTTGAGATTTGCCTGAGCTTTGCCCTCTTTCTTGACCTCTTCGGCAGTCTCTGGTGGCACCCCAGCTCCTGTGGGAAGAGCCGGAACAGGCATCATCTGCAGGGTTGGCGCCCAATGCCCTGGGGGCTCTGTCAAAGCTGTCGGAGGTGGAGAAGGCAAAGTCATAGGTTGCGGTACAGTCGAACCCTTGCCACCACCTTTGTCTGGGGGTGGTGGGACAAACGGGGCAGTCATGACTTGTTGTTGTGGATATTGCTGTGGATATGGCATCATCATGGGCATCATCTGCTGCGCAGGCATCATGGGTCCCTGCATAGCATCGTAGCCCTTGCCCTGGCCCTTGGAGTGCCAGTGATCCCCAGCATTGTTTTTGTTCTGCTTCTTCTTCTTGGATCTTGCCCTCGGACTCCTGCTTCCTGAATCCTGCCATGTCGCACCATTCCACGGCGGTGGCTGCCCCGAAACCTGGTTGTAGGTCTGGTGCTGGGTGCGATGCTCCGGCGGGATGAAGGAGGTGTCGTGACAAGCATTCCATTCTTGCCCACATTTCCAACATCTTGGAAAAGAGCCCTTCATGATGACGTGACACCATGTGCAGCGCCATGAGGGTTGCTTCTGTGCCATTGCTTCTTTGTGAGCAGCAAGAAGTCGACGTAGAAAGATGGGATCTTTGGAATGATGTTTGGCCAGCCTGGCGTGAATCTGTAAAAGCTGAGCTCCAGTAAGGCACTCCACTCCTTTGCGATGTAAAAACCAACGCAGTCTCGCACGTGCCCTCTGTCTCCTCTCCGTACGGCGTGAAGCTGATGAAGTCGTTCTGCTCGTAGGGGAGGTCAGCCAAGAAGCCAGTGATCTGATCCGCCTTGACCTGAATCAAAATAAAGGCAAGGAAGAACTGAAAGGCCGAAAACATACACAAGGAAGAAGAGCAAGGCCAGAAAGTGGTCCCCGCAGCGAATTGCACCCGGGAGTTTTAAGAGTCCGGGACCTCTCACAAAAGGTGATGCCACGTCCGGTGGCAGAGCACTTGCAAGCAGGCACGCACCAGGGAGAACCAGTTCAGTGCGGCCGCCAGTCAGCAAAAGGCGCAGGAAATGGCCCGCGGGAGGGTCCAACAAACTCCCGCTAAGGTACGGTTGAGGGACGTGGGCCACTGCAGCCAAACCTTAATGTTATTATATGTATATATATATACATATCATATGTGCATATATGCCATATGTATATATAAAATATACTGTATCTATATATATATAATGTATCATAAATTTATATCTCCCCATGTGGTATTTCCATAGGATCCATCCTCTCAGGAGTCTGGTGATCCGCCTGCGGCTGAACGAGGCGCCCTTGACGGGGCGGCCGCACCTGGCCACGCAGCCGCCGCGGGAGACAGCGGGAATGGTGATCGACCAGGAGCTGCTTGGTGAGCTACCAAGGGCAATGAATCATGGGAGGTTTCCATAGTCATATAGTGGAGAATCAAAATATAATGTATATAACTAATATATATATATAAGCTTTAAAAGAATGTAGGTATATATGATAATGGGGATATGATGGTATAGCTATATCATAGATATCATAGTATATAGATCATCAATGGCTATATCATCGGAGGTTTCCATAGTCGGAGATCCCCAATAGCTGGATCAATAGCTGGATGGTTTATAGATGTTTATAGTGGAAAATCCTATTAATTAAAATGGATGATCTATAGGGGTACCCCCATTTAGGAAACATCGGATAATGTTTGACCTATTTTTCCTGGTGGTGTAAGCATGAAACAAAAATCAAGAATGAACATCAACCAATGAATCATAGAGATGTGAAATATGGAGTCACTGAGTTTGATTTAACACAAGTTCAAGCTGTGGATCATACCACGAATCGTCAGTGGTTCATAACCTCGGTTCAATCATTTAGAGAATCTAGGAATCGGGGACTTACTTACCAGGATTTTTAGCCACTTACTATGATCAATGGGATCTTATGATCCTCCAAATAGGGACTTAACCAATGAATCATAGAGATTTGGTTATGATGTTTATGAGGCAACCACATCTGCCAAACATTGGATTTAACCAGGGAGAATATGGACATCAACCAATGAGTCATGGAGATTCCTTTGTTTTCGTATTTGGATGGGATTTAGTGATGTAAACATGAATAGAAAAGTGGGATTGTGATTTTATGGGGTTGCAAATATCAAAGGTGTGGGGGTAGAATTGAAAAGGATGCTTGGTAGACAGGGCGGTATTAACTGGTTCGTTGGATCTTTATGACCTACAATGCAGCAATTGTTTACAAACCAACCAGTATGATGGGATAGGATGTGGGTGCTCTTCATGGCTCATTGGATGGCATTGGATGTGTGCACAACTTAGTTCATGCGGTGAGTGATTGCCCAGTTGTTTATGGGATATTCCCAGTCTTCGCTTCAGAGTTTCTTCACAGGGATTGTATTGTTTTCATGTTTATATATCTAACAATATAGGAGCTGAACCATCAATCATGTGGGGATATAGCTTAATTGATAACCGTGGTAAACTCCCAAAATGCAACATCAAGATTGGAGAACGATATCCATGCTACATTTTTCTGACGGTCTCTAAAACAATTGGGAGGGTGATTTGTCTATTTTTGTGGGAGGCTTTTTCTTGTAAAGTCGACATTCAACCTGAGCCACTTTTGGTGATCATGGGCCCATGGGCTCATGCTCCGAGCTAGGGACTCAAGCAGGGTCCATGTGGTAATGTTGCTAAGTTTGGTTTCCATGCAGTCTGGCGCAATTCACGAAGCTTGCATTTTTGCCCTGATCACTGGCATAGACCAACAGCTTCCATGCTTTTCTGCTCAATGACTACTGGAAACCTCATTCTTGAACCACTTCGCCACTTCGTGATTAGCACCCGGCAAAAGAACATGACGTCCAAAAAAACATGGATATGTCATTTCAAGTTGGACATGTACATTTTTTTAAAACAAATCAAACTACTTCAATTTTTCTTTAACACAGTCCGTGGTGTTTCATTCTGGTGGCGCGTTTCAGAAGGGTTCCAGACCGCTATATACCTACCTACTGTCAAATGTGGATGTTAATAGCCTATATTTACGAATAGCTAGACCCTCGAAATACCCCAAGAAAATTGGAAAACTGTATTAAACATAGTAAACACACATCTTTTAGGGTACTTGAAGGGTCTAGCTATAAATAGCTGGAAATAGCAGTAATTCTGAACATCCAAAAGCGAACTTTCTTGGCTTTGCGAGAAGAGCTTTGCCAGAAACAAAACGTCGACAATTCAAACCATGGAAGTTTGTCCTCTAAGAGATCGTCCAAGAGGAGAGGACACCCTATCGGACACATGACTTGGGCACCAGGTTTGGAATTGGTTTACCCTGTGGTAAACTAACATAGCTATCTAAAATGGCAATTCATAGTGGATTTTCCCATTAAAAATGGTGATTAAAATTGGTGATTTTCCATAGTTATGTTAGTTTACCAGAGGGCAATTCATATTATCCTATCATGTTGTGAAATCACACATTTTTTGGTCGAACCCAAGGTACGGTCTACGGATTCTGGGGCAAGATGCTTTACCAGGCAGAGTGTGGCGCTGTTCCATGCTATGTTTGCATTGGAAAACCACGTAAAAGCATGGTAAAACCTGGAGAATTTGGATGATGCATGGCTTAAACAGATCCATGTAGGTTGTATACTATGACTACATTATATCGGATTAGTTACATCATATTGCATCACATTATATTAGATCAGATTGCCGTGTGTTTATAAAATAGTTTTATTGTTGCTTTTGTCGTCTATCTTAGTACAATTCAACACACTATAGTACATATTCCTGTGATTTCATTTGATGTATGTGGAACTAAAACAATTTGAATGAACTACTATTTAATTATACCAAGATGCTGGGGAACGGACACATATTCTTAGGGCTTAACTGCGGGTCTGGGTATAAATAAAATCACTCCGTCATATTTGCAATACAGATGCAATCCATTCTCAAAACGAATATCATCTGAATTATCTCAGAGTTTCCAGTGCGCCATGTTGGGGTTTCCTAAAATAGGGCTTCCCCCAGTTATCATAGGATTTTCCATGAAACAAACCAGCCAGCTATTGGGGTCCCCCCATGACTTTGGAATCATCCATTTTTGTCATAGGATTTTCTATTATAAACCATCCATTTTGGATACTTCCATTTATGGAAATCCCCAAATATAGCCCACTTCCTATAGGATGGCCGAACGTGGGGGGGTATGTCATGCAAATGCACAATGGCCGCTCTTCGATGGTCGAAAAGTGGAAGTCCAAATCAATGATCCCGTGGGAACTATCAGTACAGTACCCTCTGGTAATCCAACATAGCACTGGAAGAGCTCCCGATTTATAGATGAGTTTCCTATGAAAACACCATTTACCTAGGATTTTTCATTGCCACGTTTGATTTTTCCGGGGGGTAACTCCATTAAGCACCATTAATTGCCATTCATCACCAGCATTAACCATCATGAACCATTTATAACCATTAATCACTATTTGTTAACCACTATTAAACGTGATTAATCATTATGCATAATATTAGTAACTATTTGTTTATAACCATTAATCACTATTTGTTAATCCTTATAACCATTATTATAATTTAATACCCTCTGGTTATGTCAAACATAGCTATTGAAAATTACCATAGAAAGAGTGGATTTACCCATGAAAAATAGTGATTTTCCAGTTCGCTATGTTAGTTTACCAGAGGGTAATTATAGATATCAGGTAGTTCATCCAAAACTGGGCCAGTCCGTCAGTTCGTCAGTTCGTCGCCGTCACTGAGGCACCACTTTGGTGGACCAGAAGTCCTATGTCACTTGGATCGAATTGGATCGTGGATCGACCCAGGGGTTCCACGCGGCTTCAACGCCTTTAAAAACACACCGAGAAAAATTCGGGTCAATCCTACGCAGTTGTAAGTTACCCTCTGGTAAACTAACATAGCTATGGAAAATCACTATTTTTAATGGGTAAATCCACTATAAATGGCAATTTTCAATAGCTATGTTAAATTACCAGAGGGTACATAGGGATTTATGTATGGAGGTTTCCTAAGTCATGGGGGTACCCCTAACTCACCAGAAAATGGATCTATATGATGGAATAATATGGGGCTTTCCATCAAAAAAAATATTGAAAGCCCCATATAGAATCATGTAGATCCATAATTCATGATAATTATGATAGTGTTGTCTAGTTGTCACGTACCAAT